CACTTGTGACCGGCTGCCAGCTGGATTTATATTATTTTTTATGCCGAAGAATCCCACAAGGGACAAGTTGATAGACAGGAAGTTTTTGTTAGCTTAGCTAGTCAAGGAACTACTTCATGAGGAGAAAATAATTTCAAAGTTTAAATTCTGATAACATTAGAAGTTGTTAAGATATAGTATATTATCTGTGTGTATGGAGAACGTTTTTAATTTTGATAAGCTAATTTTAAGTTGTGTATTTGAATTTTTAAAAAATTCTTCAGTGTTTAAGTAACTCTCCATGAGAAATTACTTTGATATTCTTACAAATAAGCGTTTCATTGGAGTTTTTAATGCCTCTTACATGGGAGACTGCTGTTTGATACGGCTCTTTTTGCAGAAGTAAGGCATGCTTTGTGTCACTTTCTCTATTGAGTTGCTTTTCTGTTGCAGCCAGATGAATTAACCAGCTTGCTTGTTGTGATGCTTTATGACCTACAAGACCGAAAGTTTCAAGCACGAGAGATTTTTGATGAAGAGGAACCTGTAGCAGAAGTTCGGAAAGTAGAGTGTTATCTGTACAGGTATACATGCTAAGAACTTTTTTTGTTGATATATATTAGCAGAAATACAGATTTGTATAACCAGTGCCCTTTTTTTGTAATTGTCAATATTATGATGTCTTTCAGCTTCAAATTTTGTGGGCTTTGTTTTTATTTTTAATAAGAACCCAGTTGGAAGGGAAACTTTCATATTCCTATAGTTAAGAAAAACACAGCTAACAAACGATCTTTATATTGTGGATTATTCTGCTAGAAAAAGGTATCTTATGTTGGAGTTGTTGAAACTTTTTCATACAATTTTAGAAAAGAAATGAAATACTCACTAAACATTCATGAATATAAGTAAAATAGAGCCAAGAGGTCATGGAATGGAGTAATATCAATTTATTTAGCAATACTGATATTATGGAACTTTGTTAAGTATTTATAATTTTAAGTAATTAGAACAAAAAAAAGAGGATATGTAAAATAAACATTTTAAGTAGTGTTCAAGTATTTCTTTCATCAGTCTGTCAATGAACTCAGCAGGCATTTGTTGGACAAAATTGTGTTGCTGTTGGATTTAGAATAGCCCAACAAGTTCATGAATATCATAAGTGCAAGGTATTCCTGGAGGGCAGTAAGTAATATACCTGGACATCTGAAGTAGCTCACCAGCAGTTTTTATTTGCTTTGAATTATCACATATCAAAATTATGCATAAAGCTTGTGGGAAGAAAAGACTGGGAATATTTCCTCTGAGATATTCATGTAATAATAATAAAACTGACTCCTGGTTGCCATCATACTTGGGTTGTTTCTGTACACATTTAGAGGTCAGCTTTCATCAAATGCTCATTCTGCACATATATGTATTTATATCTTCAAACATACAAAAAAATCTGATGATTGTATTCCACAGATTGCAGTTCCAAAACATACTTAGTTTTTTTTTTTAGCTGTCTGAGAAAACTGACATATTTGAGAGTCATCTGTCAAAATTCCAGTCCCATGCATTTAAGTAGAACAGTCTTAGTTATGTACTGCTACCTTGCATCTACCATTGTCTGGGGTAGAAAATGTCCTATAACGGTGTATTTTCTGTAGCAGCTTGCAAAATGAGGTCTCACTTTTGGTTTTGGTTTCTGAGCAAGATAGTATTGTAATAGAAATATTGCATGTTAATAGCTGGTGTAAACATTTATAAAACTTACAAAACTTGTGATTATGTTTTTGTAGTTTTAGGACCAAATTGGCAGCTGCACTAGCAAGATGTCGCATTCAACATGATGCTCTTTCAATTGAATACATTCTACCAGAAACCATACGGAAGCAGGAACAAAGGGCTTCTGCTTTACCTTTATGTGTTTGGGCAAACACATTTAAAATCAGGTAAGGTCTTTAAAGTATCATCTAATATTGATGTTTTTACATATGAAGTGATATAGTTTGCTACAGACTTGTTTTAGAATTTCCAGGTTATATTATTACTGGTAATTTAAGTTTCTTATAGTAAATTCTGCTTAGTCCAGCAACATTGCCTTATGTTTGTTTGTAGTTTTTATATATTGCAGTAATGGTATTCATAAACTGTAACAAAGTTGTGAAACGGTTTTTCTTACTATTCTGTTGCTTGTGTGGGTCTTTCACCAAATAAACGAGGAAATAAAGTTAGAAAAAACTATATGGGTGAGTAAACTATGTGACAAAAAATAGAGAAAGACAAAACTTCTTCTAAAGTGCGTGTATTACTGTAAGCCGTAACATTGGCAAAGCGTGTTAAGACAGATATAATACTTAAAACTGCTGTTTATTCTGTAAGGGTAGTGTAAAGTTGAAATAAAAATACACTTTTAGAAATCCTTATATTTGGTGGGTTAGTATACATGTAACATTGGTGTTCCCGGTTCTGTGCTAACGGATACATGAATCGTACCAGGTTATGCTGTTACCTGTTTTGTTAGACAGGTAATCCATTTTATCACGTTTTCAAGGATTCTTTTTTCATACTCTTGTCTTGGACCAGTGTTCCGTGCTTACGTTATAGGCTGTTCAAGATAGAGAAGGTGTCTTATTCTGGTTGTGATTTTGCAATCCTTAACTAAGACTGAGCTGAAAGCTGCTGCATTGACACTACGTTTAATGTACCATATAAGCTTATGGCACTGTCTGAAACTGCATTTCAACAAACAAGTCTTGGTGTATATACCTTTAAATCTTTATGACATTTGAATTACAAACCTCAGCATTTATGCCTTTATTACATTTACACAAGGATTATTTCAGATATCAGCCATTGGTGAGCTGGGCTAAATTGAAAACAATTGAAAGAACTAAACTATTGCAGCAGTAAATTTGCTACAGTGTCTCCTGAGCGCATGGACATTGATGTTTTGATGCTTTGAATCATCCTCTGGAGACACATACCTCTTTCTTAATTTATTTTGTCAGGCTTATTAACTTAATTGTTTCAAACCAGAATTTATGTGCCTAAACTAGAGTGAATTCCCTTCCTGCATTAGGCAGTATTGCATTTTTTATATACATATATATATACACGTGCATATATATACACACACTAAAAAAAAAAAGGCAAAAATCCATATAATCAATGTGAACTATATTGCTTAAGAAACTGTTGAATATTTAATAGTCAGAGTTGTATGTTAACAGCCTTCAAGATGTTTTCAGAGATTTGAAGAAGAAGGGATTCACAAGAGTTGAAACTGTGTCAGACTTTGACCGTTACACGTACTGTATGGACCAACATTGCAATGATGTATTGGTTTTTCCTTCCTCTCTTAAAGAAGAACTGCTTAATTTAGATCTTTTTGCAGATTGCAAACTCGTACTGCAGGTGAGTTGATGTCACCCTTGAGTAATATGATCTGCAAACTAAAATAACACTTTGCATTAAAATGAGGTCACGTATTGTGTGACTGTCCTATTAAATCAGTCAGGCAGCAACATACTCTCGTAAGGTTTTGGACGTTTCTAATAAACAGAAGGTTAGAAACTGTTTCACTTACTAAATTTAGCATGCAAATGTTAATGCTTATAATTGATAGCTACAATTCAGTTAGTTGAATGTTTTAAATTTAATCTTAAAACTGTTGAAAGAAACATCGAAAGAGATCAAAGAGGCAGTCTCACTTCTGAAAATGTGAGCAAAGTTTCTATGTAACTCTATATGCATTACCCCCAGTTAGTAGATAATGGTATGCTAATATTATAGTATCTCTTCCTCTTCAACTGCGTATTTGTGATGGAAGGATGACACTTCTTTGAATTGTGTGCAGTGTGGTTCCTAAATTTCCACATACCCCACTGGTCTTTTTCCTGACTTGCCATCATTAGCCTCTCCAGGCAAGATTGGTCGGAGGTTCCTGTTGTAGAGCGGTGGTTTGGAGTAACCGTGCAACCACACACAACCACAAATTACCTGAAGCGTCTGATGATTCTTGAGTGCTTAGCAGAAACATTTCAAAGGGTATTTTCACTTGATGCTTAGCATTTTCTGGAAATTTTAGCCTCAAAATTTATTACCCAACTTACAAAGTAATTCTCTATTCAGTATTCAATTTTAGTATGTATATTTTGAGTAGAAGACTTACAGAAAAGAACTATACATGAGAGCCCCATAGGTCATGGGAACAAATTCTGAGTATTACTACTTAAGAATATTCAAAGTGAGGAAACAGAACCCTCAAAAACTCCATCTCTCTTTCGTGGGGTAGGGTGGTACTTGAATGCTGTAAGTGGATACGTAGGCATTGATGTGAACTTAAAGGTTTAGTGCTTTTTCTTTTCCCCCCTCCCCTTTATCATCAGTGTTTGCCAGATCTGGTGCAAAACATGGTACCTCTTTGCCTTTTAAAGTAATTAGATGGAGATAATGTTTGATATATCTCTTCTTCTTTTCATCACCTGTAGTATGAGATCATTTACTCTTGTTGAGAGGTCCCTGCGCTCCCTGCATTCAAATCTGCCCGTGTTGTTCAAATTTCAGCAAAATCTTGGTCTTTGATCTGTAAGGGCTTCATTTCACCTATCATTATTGTCAAGAGCTATGTGAATAGTTTTGCATTTCTCTGTTATGCTGCCTCTGAGGATGAAGTCTGCATATTGTAGCCTACGTTTGTCTTTTCTGGAACTGGCTGTTGCTAGAGTTCTTCTGTGTGGGGATGATACGCACTTACATTCTTTTCACCTATAAATACTATGCTTTCTTATGCATTAGTTAGAATTAAATTATTTAAATTTAGTGGATGACTTAATAAGATGTTTGGTTTTGTACTTTATTTAATTCTATATTAGCAGCTATCCCTGATTAGTTTTTCTCCTCCCTTTTTTCCCGTTTGTCATGAAAACAATGAAATACTTTCCTAATTCGGAAAAGAAGGTTGGCATTCATAGAAACCAAATTAGTTGGTCATACTTAATTTTTTTGTCATTATTTTCCAGGATAAGTCTCGCAGCCTTGCTGTACACTCTGCGCAGGCACTGTTGAATACAGGTGACGACATTATAGTGGCTCACGTAGGTTCCCATCTGACCATTGCCCATATGTCAGTGCTGACAAATAACAGCCTGTCCAGAATTTTTGTTTGTGGTGTGAAATCTTCAGCAAAAGCAGCAGAACTGAGGAACTTGTTCAGTCACATGGGATGTCAAAGTAGGTGTTAAAACAGTTGGTATGCATAAAGTATTGTAATAGAGATGTTTGTGATATCTATAAATATGGCATAATTCTATCAGAATTCAGAGATCCCTTGTTTGAGGACTTGGGGAGGGCAGTAACAACTTATTTTTTGTCACAAGGTGAACTGACAGCTCTTCAGCTACAATGAAGTTAATCAAAGGTTGCAGATTAACCATGTCATAGATGCAGGCTCCTGAAAGGTCACAGTGAATTTTTCTGTATACGTAGTTACTGTATAGCAGTTGGTGTAGCTGGGAACTTTTCGGTCTATTTATTTGGTGTCTTGGCTGTTGCTTTCAGTCTGATTTTCAGCTGTTTGAGTGTGTTAATCCAGAACCCATGCAGTTGTCCAGTTTATCTGGAGGACGTGATCAGAACAGAATGCAAGAAGACCCTGGAACCCTGTTAGCAGTCTTTTCAGTGGAAGATGCTAAGGTCTAGCTAGTCCTTCAATCTGTTTGAAATCAGTGGGGCATACTTTGGAGGATCAGGGTCTAGCAGGCTCTAGGTCTATGGAAGGCTGTGTAACACCACTGTCTCTTCACCTTTATCACATTAAAATTAGGCAGGCTTGCTTGCATGTAGAACTGTTGAGTTTCTCCCTTTTTTCCAGATATTCAGTTGTTACATGAAGACTTTACTGAGATTGGACCAGCAGACCCAAAACTTCAAAAGGCAAAAGTTATTTTGCTGTTACCACAGTGCTCTGGACTGGGTGTTGGCAATCCAATAGACTTTATTTTAAATGAACACGGAGGTAACTTTTGATACAAGTATTGTGATCTGGACATCATAGCTGTTTCAGTAAATTGTGTCATTTTATTAAAAAACCCCTTTATCTTTTAGATTTTTATTTTAACTGCTATAAAACATATATATTAAATAACTTGCATAATTCTGTGTGTGTAATGTACGTGTGGGCTACTATGGAATACAAAAGAGAATAAATCAATTATACGACGATTTTTCCACACAGAGTGAGCAAGAACATATTTGGCTTAGCTTAGGATTCTCAATAAGAAAACAAAATCTTCATAGGTAATCTTTCTAGGTGACATTGAAGGATTAGGAGCGTTTTGTAAAGGCAGTTTCAAGCCGATAGTATGAAGTTTGAGGGTTATTCTGGAGAGCAGAGTGTATATAGCCTTTCTTTTAAAGTAAAAAGACTATAGGCAGAAAATTTATTTCAAGATACCAATGTGTATATAATTTTCCACTGATTACATTCCTTTATTTGTATAAGTCTATTCACTGTACAATTATCATTAAATAGAAGCAAGTAAAAGGCAGTAGTAATTACTGGTAAAGAGAGAAAGAAGAAACATCTAGTTACTCCTTGGTATTGTAATTTGTAAAACCTATCTTCTCAGTGTACCAGTAATAACCAGGTCTGTTACCAAAGCACCTTCTGTAAACAACTGAATTTTAAGACACTAATACAAGTTGCAATAATAAATTTACAACTCTTTACATTTAGATGCAGGATTGCTAAGAGACCTTTTCTGGGGATCTGTATCTGAGGATAAACTCAGTATTCTTGCTGAGAGGCAGCTTAATGAGTTGATTCATGCAATGAAATGTAAGTGTGCTAGCTCTGCAATTTCTGGAAAGACCTTGTACTGTCAATTCCATTGTACGATCACCAGTTTTTATATAGTTAAAAGTACACTAACTATTAATTAACAGTAAGTGTGTAAACCAAAACCCCTAAATAATGATCTCCTCAAGTTTGAAGTATTTCTGTGTCCTAGTGTTCACCAGCAATTAATACAATAATCTTCAGCATTGTGTAGAGAACTGACTTACTGGCTTAGTCATACTCTGCTTTGGAAAAGTTGTAAATGTAGCTGACTCCATGTGCATGCTGCCACTTTCGCACCCCCCTCCTTTGGTAGCTGGGTGAAAAGACTGGATGCAGCTTTGAATTTGTGCTGAAATCTGCAAAGACTTGAAAAGACTTTAATTATTAAAAACCACTAGAGATTGAATATTAATGTGTGCAGGAGGATATATTTTATTGGTAAAAGTGACATCCAAGCATAATTTTTATGATGCTTTCAGTCCTTACTAAACCACCGTGTGTATGAAGACTTTGAACAGTGGAAATTTTTTGTTTGTTTGTTTTGTAGTTAACAAAGTACAAGCTATTGTTTACTGCACTTGTTCAGTTTACCCAGAAGAAAATGAACTAGTAGTGAAAAAAGCACTGGAATCTGGAGTGGAAGGAAATAAAGTACAACCATATAGGTATGGAATGAGTAGTTTTGTCTATGGAAAAATTAAAGTATAACCTTAAATTGTAGCTTAATCCTTATCGTAGACTGATCTGTGTCTTGCATTAGATTAACATTTAAAATTTTTTTTTGCTGCCTCTCATTCCATTCCTTTTGATGTTATGAGAGTACTAAGTAGTATCCTCTTGACTTTTTCATCTAATATTTTTGTTCCCATCTGAAATCAAGGTGGGAGGATGTGGTGTGCTTTTGATAAAGCTGTTCGTTTCACCCTATCAGTATTCAGAGAATGAAGCTAGTTTAAGATAAAATGGAGACTAGAAGAGAGGGAGCTTGCTAGCGTGCTCTCAGCTTCTGACCCAGAATGATCAGTTTCAAAGGAAAAAGAAATTAAATCTTAAAATATGAGAATAATATAGAAGAATAAGGACCTCTGCTGTAAGATTGCTCATCCCTGTATTCAGATGAATGACTTTGGCGGGGGGACAGGTTACAGTAAGAGAATATCCTGTGCAATCATAACAAATGCAAATATATATGAAAAAAGTATGCGTGTTGTGTACTTTATATGTAGTTAAAACCTGTCAGCTGTCACCCCTGTCAGCTAGAGCAATTGTTAAAAGATTGATGGGTACTTTCTGGATTTTCCTTTCAGTCACAGTAGATAAATGCAAACAGTTGGCACTTGCTTGCACATAGGTGTAACAGTTGATTACAGGATGCAGGTTAGAAGAGTTTATGTTGCCAAAAGCACAGGAGGGTAATACTGTATTTTTAGACTTTGAATTATCTTACATGACATTAATGCCCTGGCTATCGTAGG